TGATGCCAAAGTTATTGACATAAATTCATGAAATAGTAGTTCAATAAAATTTTTGATGCGATTCAACAAACAAGATGACATGGCCTTTCACCCATGACCTGTCTTGAAAGGGTTATTTGTTAAAGTGAATTAATGTTGTTTAATAAAATGTTAAATATGGTGACATCATTGTGTTTAATAAGGTGAAGTAAGGGTATTTCATACGGTTTGAAACGAGTTATTTAAGAAGATAATTAACTTGTGAATGGGACCTTTTTTTTTTTTTACTGTTCCTGTATTTCTTGACCAATAATGTGATAATGTTAAAGTCTGCTAACAGTGTTCATAATATCTCTCTATTATGATTTCAATTTTAGTAAATGTGTTTTACAGTGTAGCCCCATTATAAAGTGATCGTTGAGGTCCATAAAATGTCATCGCAAAACAAGCGGGGTCGCACTAAATCGAGGTTTTGTAAAGATACACTTAAAATATTAAAAGTTATTAGTATGTAAACTATAATGAAGTTATGGTTACGAGGTCGGTCACAAGGGACCGACCCAGTGTCGAAAGAGTAGATGACCCATTGCGTTATATCCAAATTCGCGTTAAATCGGGGGTTTCGCTGTACTTGTAATAAAAGTCTTAATGCTTACTGTAAAATGTCACCGTGGTTTTGTAAAGATACACTTAAAATATTAAAAGTTATTAGTATGTAAACTATAATGAAGTTATGGTTACGAGGTCGGTCACAAGGGACCGAGCCAGTGTTGAAAGAGTAAATGACCCATTGCGTTATATCCAAATTCGCGTTAAATCGGGGGTTTCGCTGTACTTGTAATAAAAGTCTTAATGCTTACTGTAAAATGTCACCGTGGTAGCTCATAAACAGTCAATCACTGGATATTAATAATTCACAATAATTTAATTTTTGTTTTATTATGTGAATACTTTATTCCACTGGGAAGTTTAGTGAATTTGTAATTAGAATAATTACATCATGTGTTTTAAAAAATATGGAGCTCAAATAATCTTAGTTTTTATAAAACGTTTTTTTTTTCATCATTTCCAGGAAGAACGAGGTTTACATTAATCAGTTAACACACATATAATTGCAGGTTCATGCTATGGAATTGGGTTTGGCTAGACCAAAGTTCCAGAGGCTTGTTAGAATTGTGGCGATGACCGTAGTTCCAAAGTCAGAACGAGCCACCACAGTGAGAAAATACTTGGAGCAGTATAGCTGTATGCCTCCTCCACTGTTCATGATTATAGCCAGTCTAGGAGAGGTGAGAAAGATAAAACCCATATTATACAGTGTGTATTTATTTATATATGTACATACATATATATATATATACTTCACTAGGGTGTGTCTTTAATTTAAATCCACGTTTATAAGATATATGCATTTTTCACTTTTATATAGAATATACTTATATTTTCTTTGCAGAAAATGTGGTAACCCATTGTGATAATTAAAGTTGTACAGCCCCAAGTACATGCCTATAAGAGCATTTCTTTCAAAGCCCAACATCCTTACATTAGTAAAGTATACATATGGAAGGCGTTTCACGAACACTGTGATTACATCAAACCGTAAATTTTAAAAGTTTGCTTTGTGCCTGGGTTAAAACATCTAAGCTATTCCTGTCGTAATTTTCTTCTTCTTGTAGCTTGGTGTCTTTATTTATTACTGTGCAAAACTGAAAGAACTAAGTGCTGCCGGTCCTGTTCCCATTCACAGTTCCCTCATCTACAACCCTTATCGTCGCAAAGAGGCCTGGAGGTTCATCACTTACATGCTTATTCATGCTGGGTGCGTATGAATGCTTAGGTTTTTATAAATTAGAAATATTGGTTAGAAGAAAAATTTATCCTGTTACCTCAAATATTTTATTAACTTATTCTCGTGCTAAGTGTGCATCAAATCTTTGTAGTAATAACTTGTAATTTGCCAATAAATAAAATTAAAACTATATTAGGGATGACTGTTTTTTTTTATTCTAGGGCTGTTCACATCTTTTTCAACATCATGATTCAGTTGTTGCTGGGGATTCCTCTGGAGATGGTGCACAAGTGGTGGAGAGTGGGACTTCTGTATTTCGCTGGTGGACTAGCGGGTGCGTAATATAACTTAATACCTGTCACATTTTACTGGTGCACAAGTGGTGGAGAGTGGGACTTCTGTATTTCGCTGGTGGACTAGCGGGTGCATAATATAACTTAACACCTATCACATTTTACTAGTGGACTAGTGGGTGTATACCTTACATACCTAATTACGTATTTCTCTGATGGACTAGCAGATGGGTACTCTTGATGTAGCTCTTTGCAGAACATAAAATTAATTGCTTATGTTACATACATTATATTAAAATGATTTTTAATACAAAAACCAGTAAGTCATGTGACAACCACAGCCAGTATAAAGTCACAGTAGAATGGCATATATCAAAGTTACATTTTTGAGATTTATCACTTTTGTACATAACAGCCCTTTCTGATGCAAAATATTCATACACTTGGATAGAATATCCAAGATGGGGCTCTATGACATTGAAAAACAAAGAAATATGGATCAACTTAGGGCATCAGAACCATCCAGAAAGGGACTTGTAAAAGTTGTACTCCAGTAACAGTAAACAAAGTGTGGTGTCTTGTAACAGGTGAGATCTATGAATGCAAAGATCAGTGGCGAAAGCTTTCTGTGTACCCCAGACAACAGTATGCAACACAGTCAAGAAAGGCTTCATTTCTTTTGGAGATCAACAGGGTTTGGGTTTAACAAGATAAGTTTTCCAGCCATACCTCCTCTTTAACTTCAAGCAGCTGTAGAATTAAATTAGTATTCATTCTGTTACTTATGAAGATGTACTAACAAGGTCATCCTAATGTAGCACCTAAGGATTTCTGTGCAATCAGACAGTTGAAAGTGTCATCCTTGTAAACTAGATAAATTATGGTATGCATGCATTGAAGAGTGGTGTGATTTGGACATTACAATTTTGTAACATGGCATGTTGCAATGTCAAATATTCTGCTGAGCTATATATTATAATATATAGCTCATTTAATATTAATATTATAATATTAATTTAATTAATATTATAATATTAATTTTATAATAATGTCAATTAATTTTATGCATATTAAAATATTTAATTTTTAGCTTTTAAAACTGCTTTTTATTCATAATATTTCCGTAAACTTTCGAATCACTTTCTCTGTATGGTGGTAACAGTTTCTACTCATCTTTAAAAATAGTAAATGTAAATAAAAGGGATTCTCATTTTTATAATTAACTAATCACAACTAAAGCTAGTTGCTAATATTAATAATTATCAGTTAAGATTTCTTAAAAAAATAAGTCGCAGAAAAAAATTACAAAACAAAATTAGTTTCTAGAGAAGTTTAGAAGTAATCCCTAAAAAAAAAACAATGTAAAAATATCTAGGATATACGACTACTTGTAACTGTATATCTCCACCTTTTGATCAATACTACCAATGTAAAAATATCTAAGATATATGACCACTTGTAACTGTATATCTCCACCTTTTGATCAATACTACCAATGTAAAAATATCTAAGATATATGACCACTTGTAACTGTATATCTCCACCTTTTGATCAATACTACCAATGTAAAAATATCTAAGATATATGACCACTTGTAACTGTATATCTCCACCTTTTGATCAATACTCATTTATCAAGATCAATCAACATACTTTAGCAGTGCCCTCTATGTACACACTCTTGTTCCCAGCACTTAACAAAAAAATTTCCGTACCGATTAGCCAAGAGGTAAGTACGGATACCATCATTATTAAGTTATATACTTGGTATCAGATAACTGCTGGAAGGCTTTGATGATGATATTATTAAGTTATATACTTGGTATCAGATAACTGCTGGAAGGCTTTGATGATGATATTATTAAGTTATATACTTGGTATCAGATAACTGCTGGAAGGCTTTGATGATGATATTATTAAGTTATATACTTGGTATCAGATAACTGCTGGAAGGCTTTGATGATGATATTATTAAGTTATATACTTGGTATCAGATAACTGCTGGAAGGCTTTGATGATGATCTTAATTGGACTTGATTTTATTTAACATTAGTGTACAATTATGGATTTATTGTACATTTAGTTTGGGTCAATTTATGAATTTATTTTGTGTGTGTGTGTTTTGTACTATTTTATGGCTTTATTTAATTCAGTTTATTGATTTCTTAGATATTCAAAACTAACTTTAAACTTTTCTCTCACATATTAATCTTTATATATTTATAAAAAAATTAGTAATTTTCATTTAAATGAAAAGTTGTGAGTTGATGACCAGTTGCAACAATAATTGTTTGAGGATTTGTTTGTTTTGTACTATTTTATTAAATAAACACTACCCACAGTAGCCTAGAATGATTTCTTAACCTTTCTGGGGGGTCCGCTTACTTTATATTTTCTGATTACAAAGTAAACTTAAGGGAGAGCACATGCATGTAATTTACACATATTATTTTGTGTCTTAACTTTTCATGAAGATTTGCTGAATTACTTTGTGTTCAGGATCTTTGACTTCATCACTATTTGATCCTAATACATATCTGGCTGGAGCTTCTGGTGGCGTGTATGCCCTCATAGCTGCACATCTGGCTAATGTCATCATAGTAAGTTTCAATTTGATATCAGTACTCTAGTGTCTTATTTATTAACTATAAAGTAATATCTTTCTTTTGTAAACTAATTGTAGAAATTGAAGAGTAATTTAGATTAGCGAACTAAATAGTGATTGAAGAACAGAGTGACTCAAGTCAGTAAACTAAAACTAAATGTAGTGACTCGGGGTCAGTTAAAATTGGATCAGCTTTCCGAGTTTTATTTTTTTATTAGTTTCATTGTTGTTATTCTATTTTGAATAATGTTCTTTTGAGTTATGACAACTTTTCAAGTTGAATTCTTATTATTTACAGAAGTGCCATTCATATAATTTCTCTGTTCTGAATATTTCTGATGAAAAAATTCAGCTACAACAAAAACAAATAAGCTACTAATTTTAATGGGGTCTGCTGAGATTGATACTGAAAAAGATTTAAGATCTGAGAAGGGTACACAAAGATTCAAAAACTCTAATATTGGTTAAATAAATATCTTAAATACTAGTGAAGCACCAGAGTTACACGTTCAAACGTTATGACACAAGAGAAACTTGATATATGTGTGTTCAGAATTTAGTTAAATTTTTACTTATTTAAAGCGTCTTCGTTACAATCTCTGTGAAAGTATATCTTACAAATGAACAGATGTTCTTGTTGAAGTGTCTTCGTTACAATCTCTGTGAAAGTATATCTTACAAATGGACAGATGTTCTTGTTGAAGTGTCTTGTTACAATATCTGTGACAGTATATCTTACAAATGGACAGATGTTCTTGTTGAAGTGTCATTGTTACAATCTCTGTGAAAGTATATCTTACAAATGGACAGATGTTCTTGTTGAAGTGTCATTGTTACAATCTCTGTGAAAGTATATCTTACAAATGGACAGATGTTCTTGTTGAAGTGTCTTCGTTACAATCTCTGTGAAAGTATATCTTACAAATGGACAGATGTTCTTGTTGAAGTGTCA